TATTCGAATTCGCAAAGCTGTCCACAAACTGCTACGGTGATAGGTATGAGATAAAAATGCAGTGGCTTGAGGAGGAGGTCAAAGGTTAACTAGATCAAGTTGATAGAAAGGAAGATGACGGAAGAAACGGGGAGACGTGTCCGCAAAGCTGCACCGCAGAATACCCGTCTCGCGGAAGCAAGCGAGCTGCTCGTCCATTGCGGAGCAAAAATGGGCGAACGCAGCAGAAAAGTCGTGCCTCCTGTCGCGCGGGAGGAGCTGGCAATGGACCTGCCGCAGACGGTGAAATTGTGTGCGAGCGGGGAAGGACAAGGGGGTCCCCGCGAACAACGACGGGCTCACAAGCTGATCGGGACGGTGCGGGTTAAGTATGAACACCAGCGTGAGCAGCTCGATGTTTGGGAATGTTGTCGCAATTTTGGAGAGGGATGGCGGAACGCAGGGGGAGCGGGCGTCGACAAGGAGCTTGATTTCAAGGGTATGCATAAGGGGCAGGTGCGGGATATCGACGGCTTCGTAAATTCCTGCAAAAGGAAGGTAAGTAGTGGTGCTGGGATATTAAATAGAGATATCGTACTGCCGGCGACACAACGGAGTGAGAGGTGGCGGAGGCTTGGGGTAATGGCAGAGAGCAGCTCGTAGTTGTCTATGCGGCAATGTTGGTCCATTGAGATGGACAGTCGCTCCAGAAGAGCAGTGTGGGAGGGTGCGGCAGGGAGGAAGAGGTTGCAGAGAGGCTTTCCTCGCCATCGAGAGTCCGACGAGATCAGATGAGTAAGCCGAAGATCGGGGAGGGGGTAAAGTGGTTCGTCTGAATTCTGTTTCAGGCTGACACAGTAAGTGGAGAGGACAGTAACCGAAGATGCCGCGCGGTAAATGAAATCGGATGGAAGATCGTTTATGGAGACCAGATGGAGCCCATAGAAGGATGGGAGGGTGATGATATCCTGGATTGCCGTATACAGCGCGGGCGGGATGGAGCTCCACGGCATGCCGGCGCCAGAAATAATCAGGCGCTCAAGCTTTCGGACTGCGAGAAAAATGGACACCAGTGCCTGTATTTCGTGCTCCAGGTGCGAAAGATCTATCTTCAGGAGGTGGATATAGGTAGCCAGGTGCGGGGAAAACGGCGAGGGAATCACTAGCTTCCAGTAGGGTGGGATGTCGTTGAGACCCTTCTGTGCGCATCCACAGCGACTTGAAAATCGCCTGCTGGGCGGGGGCTACAAAAGATGTCGAAACGAGAGCGCACGAGGTCAACGATGAATAATCGTCGAGTTGGTCCACAATGGAATGGACGAGCTCCTGAGGTAGAGAGGCCATTGCATGAGTGCGGGAGTTAAAGATGGTTTGAAGCTCCGCCAGGGCTGTGCTCGTCGGAGTTTCAAGTACAGCTCGCTCACAACACTCACATCCTAAAAATGCACCCTCTCCCTCAGGAGCTCATCGATGCCATCCTGGCTCACCTCTGGGACGATCATGCGTCGTTGAGCGCATGTTCACTGGTCTCGAATTCCTTCGTGGCTCCCTCTCAGCGCGGCATTTTTCGGTCGCTGTGGTTACACGCTCAGGGATCTCACCCAACATTCCACGATGCCACTGCCGCTCTTGCCCAATTCCCGCACCTCAGGTCGTACATCCACGACTTGACCATTGCTTTGGGTTCTTCGGATGGGCAGTTCGATCACTCCGCCCTGGAGTCCATTCTCTGCGCAGTAAAATGTGGAGCGTCTCATGTTTTCCGCAAGAAGCGCCGTGTACTGGAACAGACTTTCATATGGGTTGAGAAGTGCTATCCAGACTGTAGTCTCACTCCCATCCCTACGGGAGCTCCATCTAGCCACCCACTTCATCGGTGTTCCATCCCACTTCATTCTCCGTGCAGCATCCTCTGTTTCCTTCCTCTCAATCGTTCTAATTACTCTGGATGAAGGGGAGGAAATAGAGTTTTCTGTCCCCGATGCTGCCACTGCGCAACTCAAACATTTAGCCATCCTGCACCGTGGGTTGCGTAAATTTGATTTCTGCGACATACTCCTGGATACCCTCACACACATATCTCGTATCGAACAACTCACCATGTGCATGGGCTCTGTGATTAGTGAATGCGACTCTCGTATCCTCACCGCTGTCGCCACGAACCTTAGCAATCTCTCTATCGATGTTGGCGGTACGTTTTCCCCATCCATTGCGTCTCTGTGCATGCGGCTGAATTGCCGCTCAGCACTTTCTGACCCCTTCGACTTCCCTTATATGCCCCTCGTACACACCTTCGAAATTACGACAAACATTGATCGCGGCCGCCGCCTTCCCACCGAGTACCAAAGCACCTTCGCTAATTTTGCTGCTGCATTCCCTGGCATTGTGGTCCTCGCGCTGGGATTCAGCTTCCACCCAGAGGAGATCGAGAGCCCGTGGCGGGCAGAAGGCACGTTCCCTATTATGGGAGCATCATTCTCGACTCGCACCCAGCTTGTCCATCTCCAACAGGTGCATTGCAAGCTCAGTGCACGGAGCCGGAGGCCTAATATAGATGTCGCCATTATACGACATCTCCGCGACACGATGGAGCAGTGGATGCCGGGTGTCCCGACGCATATGGTGACTTTCAGCCTCGGTGTTCACCCTGCATTTCTCGAAAGGCTCCCGGTAGTCTAGCGTGGTGGATAATTGATCGATTTATCAGCACGATGCAATTCCGCACCGTATACAAATTAATGACCTTGTGTCTGATTCACGAGGGGAATTGTATTGCCATGGCTGAACATAGAACGGCCAGAAATTGACCTACAACATCTTACGCTGACTATACCCGCCAATGACGACCGAGTTCACCCCCGGGTTAGTACAAATTGTATTTACTACTACCTTTTATTTGGAGCAGACGATACAGCTCAAATCACATAAATAATCTGCGACCAAGTGAGCTGTTTTGCAGCGATATGAGCGGAAGGTTCCGGGGCAAATAGGAACGCACAAGATATAAGAGCTTAAGCGTCCCAGAAGGCTCCCTTCCTCCTCATCAACCGTTTGGAATCGAGGGAAATGCTACGCGGTACGCAGTCTTCGGCAGCATAGCCTCAGTGGCGTGCAAAGATTGGAGGGAACAGTGGGACCTCGAGAGAAAATTAAGGCTTCAATCATTTCCGTTCGCAAACAGTTGCGAACGGTTAAAATCGTTTTTATTTCCGTTTCGTTCGCGGGGCTTGACAAACGGTTCTAAAAACGGTTTGCAAACGGTTTGCGCACCCCTCAAGTTACAACCCCCAATTGAGGCATTAACCCACCTACAAAATCTTCCAATGGTGCACAGAAGTAGTGGGTTCTAATAAAAACCAGCGCTGGCTTCTCCCGAATTGCGTGGCAGTTACGGACCTGATTGTGGGCATGTGAGTCTTGCGCGTCAAAGTTGGACAATGCTCCCCTGCATCCAAAATGCCTACCTGCATATCGGGAATCCTTGTTGTAATAACATAGCTGTGTCGTACGACACAAGTACGACATGGCACGTACCCCGAATATAGCCAGGATACCGCACTAGCTCAAAACTACCTTTTGCAAACCGTTCGTAGCCGTTTGTAACGGTTTCCATATCGTTTCCGTTTGGTTTTCTCAGATTCACAAACTGAAATGAAACGGTTGGAGGCTTAGAGAAAATGCAGCGATGGTGGAAATTGATTCGTGGCTGAGCTCGCGCTCTGAGATTGCGAGGTGCTATGTCGAATCAATCAAAAAATTCAGTCATGAATCTCATCAGCCCTCGCACCCTGTTCGCAGCCATATAATACGCATATTCATGTATGTGCAGGAAGCCCGTGTTGGCTTGTGACAGATTTCCTACGAACATTTTTTACCTATGGAGTACAGATATTTGAGAAATGTCGGATATTTATCACCTTAAGAGGCCGACTCACCCTTCCTTCTGTTTTTTTTTAGAACACGGTTCAACGATGAGTGATGCAGCGAATCCAATACATATACTCAAATGAATCACAATCCACCATAAGATCAATAGGATGCTATCGGTTTGTCAAATTTTCCCCTTGCCTCATCACGCGCATTTAAATTTCGATTGGCCCGCACCAAAGTCTATTGTAATATCAAGCGGCCCTTGTTGATTAATGGAATCACTCACTGAATATTTCTTGTGCGCAGGTGTGTCAGTGGGAGACGAGGTTCGAATCGTCCAGGGCGAGATTGCATAATATCCTTGTTTCGCATTTTTTTCTTCGGCATGGCATCATTTGCTGGGGTGGAGTTTCTTTTATGATGACCAAGAGCTCTCATTTGACTTCCCCGAGGCAACGGCGTTCGAAAGAACATCTCCGACGTATTTCAACACTTAAAATTTACTGAGCTACCCAAGCTCAAGTTGAGTGCTCTAAAGCCCTCATTGATTAATGGAAAATCACCCACCGATTGTGTTGCACCGATGACATCGTGTGGGGGCCGGGGGTTCAAATCCTCCCGGGGGAATGGGTTATATATGGGAATTTGCATTTTTTTTGCCTTCGGCATTGCATTATTTGCTGGGGTTGAATAATTTATTATGGTGACCAAGAGCTGGTGATACATCTACTCATTCAATTTCCCCGACTCGGACTCGGAGGCAACGGCGTTCGAAAGAACATCTCCGACGTACATATTTCGACACCTAAAATTTGATGAGGTATCCAAACTCAAGTTGAGTGCTCTAAGGCCCTCGTCGATTAATGGAAAATCACCCACCGATTGTGTTGCATCGGGCCGCGGGACATCAAGTGGGAGCCGAGGGTTCGAATCCTCCCGGGGGCATGCACGGAGATTCGTGTTTTTTTTCCTTCGGAATTGCATTATTTGCTGGGGTGGAATAATTTATTATGGTGACCAAGAGCTGGAGATATATCTACTCATTATTTCCATCACTCCGAGGCAACGGCGTTCGAAAGAATATCTCCGACGTACATATTTCGACACCTAAAATTTGCTGAGGTACCCAAGCTCAAGTTGAGTGCTCTAAGGCCCTCGTCGATTAATGGAAAATCACCCACCGATTGTGTTTTGTCGTCGTCATATTACGAGTCATGTGGGAGCCGGGGGTTCGAATCCTCCCTGGGGCATTGGTCATAACCAGAGTCGATTTGCATTTTTTGTCTTCGGAATTGCATTATTTGCTAGGGTGGAATTTAAATATCTTTTCACGGACCGGTAGACAGCTGGACATCCATCTACTCCACTCATTCAGCTTTCTCGAGGTAATGGAGTAACAAGGAACATCTCCAAGGTATCACCAAAAAATTTGCTGCGCTACCCAAGCCCAAGTTGAGTGCTAAAAAGCCCTCGTCGATTAACGTGAAATCACCCACTGACCGTCACACCCGTATAAATCACTGGGAGCCGGAGGTTCGAGTCCTCCCGAGGGCATACATCTCAACTGTTTTTCCCTTCTACTTCGTTTCATTTTTCAAATAGGAATATCTGCGCATCCCACCTGTTTCTTTCTTTTCTTCCAGCCGTGTGAACGCGGTTGGTTCTTGGAGCGGTACATCAAAAAAGGTCCAAGCGACGGATCATTCCGGCAATATCCGTCACTTCGCGTCACGATCTTTGTGACTTCACTTACTTTCAAGTTTCCACCATCTTCACTTTTCTTCACTTGCTGCTTTCCAACTGAGGGTACCCGTAGCATATATTCTAACGCAATGTATGTAGTACGGACACCGGCTGTTTCCTGATGGGACCGCGTCGGAATATACCTACCTACCTACCTACCGCGACTTTTGAAACTTGAAAAAACCAGGTCCTTGTCTTTATGGGCGGCCCCTCCGGCCTCTTCCCGCGCGTTTGCTCCTGAAGGCCGGAAATACTTGGAATCCGTCCTGGAAGTGATATTCGATGCTCAAGCAGCTCCGCTATGGCTTGCAGTCTTTACCTGCGCCTCGGATTCTAAATCAAGTTAGGGGATTCACTTGTGCGATTGACTGCAAATTGGCTGACTTCCAAAATCCAAATTTTAGAATAGCCTTTTTGTGCTGGACTGGACCACGTTGGATACCGTCAACAAGTCCTCGCACGACTCTGATCAAACTTGCTGCGCGGCTGAGAGCGTGTTGCAGTGAGTCCGCGACCACAGTGCGACAGAGGCCAGCGGCTTTGGGCTCTTGCGTACGATTTGCCGTCTACGAGTCTTGCCTTCTTTCCAGTCGCCCAGCCCGGCAGATTTCTCTCCTCCGTCAACTAAGGCGCGTCCATTGCGTCCTCCCTTCCCCACGTCCTCGGCCCATCTTTGGAAGGGATTTGGACGACACGGGTGGCCCTACGACGACTAAATCAGCGCCTCTGCGGCGGAGGGCTTCAGTCACCTCGAGGATTGACATCCCTCATCCGTCACGTCTCGATACCGTGGCGCTCTCCTCCAGCTGTCATCGCGCCTTCCGCCCGTGCACCGATGGGCGGATCACCGTTGAGCCAGTGCGCGGCCGGCCCTCGCGAGCTGATGGTACGGACGCCAGTGCTGTTGTCAAGCCGCGCAGGCATTCTCGACTCGGGTGGACTGGACGAAGAGGTGACAGCCTCCTGCTCACTTACTTTGTCTGTCCGCTCATCCCCCCACAGGCTCCCAGGCGCGTCGGCATCGCCGCATTCGGGCTCCGGCGCTCGCGATCCCCTCCTCACTGCGCCCTCGCCTATTTCGGGATCCTTGTTGGCCGCCCCCTACGCATCCCCTACCCCTCCCCGCCGCTACTCGGCCGGCTCGTCCCCGCGCGAGATTCCCGCGGACGCCCACCCCGATTCCGCTTCCCGGACCCACCACCGACCTTCCGCCGCCCACTAGCTAATCCGTGTACATCATCTATGTGGCGGGCGCGTCGTCTTCGCCACGCACCTCGTCTTAGGCGTCGTCCTCATGTGTCTCGTCCCGCACCAAGCGGCGGGCATGGCACGTCGCCTTCCTCATGCGCATCCTGCTGATGCCCCAGGCGCTTGTGCAGGAGGTTTACTCTGCCCGACGCGTTGTCGGCACCGCGGATGGCGGCTCTCTGTCCGTCGACTGCCCACGCTGGTGCTATTGGGAGTGTGGTGGTGGTGCGACCGAATAGGGACAAGGCGGAAAACGGTGTCTGTTGCGTGGATCGCACCGCGCCGCCGTGCGCGCAGGTCATGCAACTCTCGCGATGGGTTCTGATTTGTGCATGCCGCTCGATAGGGGGTCCGCGCGGAAGTCCCCTACCATGTACGCGTCGACTTCCTGCTGCGCATGCGCCGCCTCGCGCATGGCAGGCCGCCGCTTCTCCTAGCGCTGGAGGCGCGGTGCATCCGCGGGCGGTTCTGCCCGCCGCTGTGCTTCTTGTCCGTCCAGCTGTCGACGCCCCTGTTGATGCTGCGGGGATGGAGTCGGTGTACCCCGCGCGGCGGGCGCGGAATGTCGATTACCTACGGCGCGTGGTGCGCTTCTCCTCCTCCGTGCGCATCCCCTGCAGCGCCGTCGCCCCGTCCGGTCTCGAGGGCGTAGATCTGCGGCGTTCGGGGCGCTGGCGCGCGCTTCCTGGGGTGTGTGATATTGTAGGCGGGCGACCGCGGGACGGCATCGACATGGCAACATGCGGCGCTGGCGCGCGGACGATCCGCAGGGGCGCGGTCGTCGGTTTGTCCGGGTCGTGAGGCGAGGGGACACTTGGCGACGCGCGGGGCCTGAGGCTCCTGGTGTCTGGTATCGAGCACCCACGGAGTCCGTAGTGCCGCGTATCCGTCTGCTCCCCCGCGCCACCATATCCATCCCGTCGCCGCCCCGCGTCCATTTGGCAATGGTAATCCGCTTCTCTTAGGGTTAGGGTTACACCCTGTCCCTCACGCCCGCCGCGCTCCTTCTTGCACACGGACGTTTCCTCCTGTAGCTATATACAAACGCACGTGTTGACCCCCCCTCGCGCTGCGTTAATCGTCCCCCCCCGCCTGCGTTATTCGTCTACCTACCTATATACATATATGCCCATCGCCCCATCCTCATCATCCACACCCGTACTTTCCTGTCTTATGTATGTATGCTGTTCTTTCCAACTGCGAATCTTCCAATTAATATTCGCGTGTGCGTAAAGTTCATTTCGACTCTCGACTATGCGCTCGTAAACTGTAAACTTAAAGGTGTGGCTGATCTGCGGCAGAGTGAAAAGGCGGAAGGAATGGGAACGGCGAGAGGAGGGGCTGTATTGATCTCCTCACGAGGACTTGTGATTTGTCGACAGCCTTGTGAACTTCGTATATATACAAAGACCAAATAAGTAACGGTATAAAAATTCTCAAGAAAGATATACAAGTCCTCGCGAAAATTCTAACCTATACAGTACAAATCCGCGAGTGAGCTAGTTGGGAACAACATGACTGGGAATAACGCCCTTCTAGGCAAACCGGGAACGTACAAAATACAGGAACACGGCGTTCCGTTCAGTCCGGCTGAACATCAATATTCAGATGGATTATTGGAATCGAGGGAAATGCTGCGCAGTATGTAGTCTTCGGCAGATAAGCCTTGTTGACGTGCAAAGATTGAAGGGAACAGTGCGATCTCGAAAGAAATGTGGCGATGGTGGAAATGGGTTCGTCACCGAGCTCGCGCTCTGAGACTGTGAGGTGACGGAGAGCCGGGGTGGTGAGGACATCGAGAAGTAGCTGTTGGGGACCAGGATCAATTTCATCGTCGTGTAGGATCAACGATTGCAGATGAACAAGTGGTGGTACAGTGCCTGGAACAACATCATCGTCGTAAAGGGTGCAGGTAAGATCCACAAGGGCAGTAGCTTGCCGCAGAACGTCGGCGGCATAAACGAGACACACCGCCTCAGCAGTGATGCAGGTTAGCTGTGACCACGGCAAGACCAATGGAGAGGGATTATACACGAGACCGAGGACAACACTCTTCAATTGGTGCGCATCCCGGAAATGAGCTGTCGCGGTCTCGCCTCCGAGTCCCGTCATGGAATAGTCGCTGGCCTTGAAAGTCAGATCGCGTAGAAGAGGGAAAGGACCGTCAATCCACCGAAGATCGTGGAAGGGAATGACTAATCGGATGTGTTCCCAGCGCAGTGAGTGTGAGAGAAGGGTGGCTGTGAAAAGGGGGAGTTGGGGCGGGTTCAATCCGTATTCCATTTGGAAGGAGAGAGAGATAGGACAGTTCTTCGAGCGCAAAAGCCATGTGGTAAGAATGCTCAGCTTTGCATCGAATGAGCTTCCTCGGAAGAAGTATATTTCGATGGCTCTCCATAACCGAGGGGTGTCGAGTGCTATCTCCCGCCAATTCCGGCATATCTGTCCCAATAGCGCGGGTGAGAGGAGCCCAACGAGCGGGGGGCGCAGGGGATATGTGGGCAGGAAGTGGACGAATATCTCTGATGTAATTTCGACGGGGAGGGTGAGGACGGGATATTTGTAGTCGTCAAGTCGCAAACGCAAGTTCTCTCGCTCGCCGCGCGCAGCATCAAGAGATTCTTTCAGAGCCAGGATACGAGCATCTAGCTCGGAAATTCGGGAGCGAATATCCAAGCACAAAGACCTGCTGCTTGCGGTGTCCTCGGATTGGACCATCATGGACACTGCAGGTCTAGAAAACGGTTGAATGTTTCAATACTCAGTGGAATGAAGAGTGCGGTGTAGTTTTTGCCCACTGATTTCGAAAGAAGTTGTAGAGCTTGAACGAGTCAACAGTGCCACCGAGTGGGCAGGAAAAGAGGTCACGAGCAAGTCACAAGGGTCAGTGCTTGTACTTGTTGTGTGCTGTGTGAATTTATTCTTTCGATTTTGGTGCAATTGGAGCCCAGTGGGCCTGGGATCAATTTAACCGCGCGTTCCAAACGAATCTCTGAGCTCAAAATATTTGTTGACAAAATAGAACGCAAGAGTAAGTATTCCCGAATGCAGTATTTGGGCAGTATCGTTACTGGGCGCATATGAATGCAGGCGACCCGCTTCTTGAAGAACCCTCTTTGCCAAACCAGAACCACACAATTTCTCACCTTTTCTGTTGGAGCCTGGAAGGTTGACAGCGGCCATTTTTTGGTGTGATGACTTATTTTTATTTTTATTTGAATCGGTACGTTTTGGACCTCTGGTAAAAGGTGCAAATAGT